GTACTTATACAAAATTTATATGTCACTTAGTATATACTGATTTTCTTTTGACGCTTTGTTGCAAATGCCGCAAATCCATCTGAAGCAAATGACACAGCAAATCCAATCTGGGCCTCTGTATTTAGAATAGATGCATTTACATATTGTGCATAGATCGTCGCTACTCTTCTCTGCCTTAGATTGTGTAGCGCGAGGCGGATTCATCTGTTTGAGCTCCTCGAGATCCCTTGAGCAAATCTAATAGACTCTCGTCGAGCATCCTTGATGTGGAAGATGAATCGTGAAAATCAGGAGGTTTGAATAATATGGTGGACAAATTCCGGTTGTTCGAAAACCTTTGCCTTAGGTGTCGTAGACACAGAACCCCACAGTTTATTTAGAAGAGCTGGGAACTGCTCTTTCGGAATTGTCCGCTTTCGTCTGGATTCCTTTCTCCAATTGTCCAGGACTGCCCTCCATTTTCCTTTCATTGGGGTAAAGAAACTGACATCCAGCGGTTGTAAGAGATGGGTTGAATTTGGTGGGAGCGGTGTCATGTAGATATTATTTTCCTTATTATCTTATTATCACCAAATACAATTGTTTGTTCATCCTTTTGACTATGTTCCTTGATATGTGGAAGCAAAATATAAAAAAACCACTGTTCGAATAGGTTCATGTCGGACCAACCACTTTTGCTATGACTATACACCGTTCTAGCTGGCCCACCTTGCGTCCAATTGTTATACAGATTCTGGGATTTGTAGACTACCATTGGTGGTAGAAGTTCGCCATCTGCCGTTCCGCATATCATAATACTTACAGAAGTCCTCAAATGTTCCTTGTTTCTCTCCACTCTTTTCATGCCTCTTGGAACGAGAACCCTTTTAGAGCCCGGGTCGTCGGTGATTTTTGTTTCGCCATAATTGTAGATATTTTGACGAGGAGCATTCACTAAATGAGGTTCTATATTTGTAAAAAACTCACGAATTGCACTTTGGCCCACAGATGCCCGATTTAGTTTTATGTTTGTGGCTAGCCTTGCGCGTAAATTGTTTCTAATTGCGAAGCTTCTCACAAAGTCATATCCTGGTCTGTTATCTTTCCATATTTGTACGTTACGCCCCTGTTTGTTGACAAAACCAGAAATAACGGATGCAATATCACTACTGGTCATAGGATATCCCCACTCACTAACAGTTCCGAGTGTTTCACTAATTAAACTTTCCTCTTCTTTTGTCAATACCGTCGAATGGCCCTTGCTTGAATGTTTTCTGCTAATTCTCTCCAAAAGGGTTGTCCTTGGAACCTTGTATATTATACTAGCTCAGAGTTCCCCAAACTTTTTTGTGTCGTAGACCCCTTGCCATATTTTTCCGTGTTGGGTAGACCCCCTACTTACCTGATATTGATTTCCTGTAAATTTCTAACTGTAGTGAAGTTTAGTGTTAAAAACTTAAAGTAAAAACACATGTTAATTTATACATTTATTAATTGAATTTAAATTAAAACTACTCAAAATAAAATTTTGTATCTGTTATGTAAAATATACGTAACATTAAATAAACAGGTGTCTGACCAATAAGTGCCCGCTTAGGGAATAAGTGCCCGCATTGAAAAAATAAGAGAGATAAAATAAAAAAAAGTGAAAAATAATAAAAAAAAGTTTTTTACTTAAAATAGTACAATAAGCGAGTTCGTTTATTAATTATAATACGAGTATAAACGTATGTTCTACAATAATTTCACTGTTAGTTTGATTAAATTCCGCTTCTTATACGTTTAAGTTATCTAAAAATAGGCAAAAAATTTACGAATTTTAGTGTGTACCTATCCTTGAATTTTCTGAATAATTTAAAAAAAAAATATTTTCTATAAAGGTTCTTTGAAAAAATCAATGCGAGCACTTATTCCCAATGCGGGCATTTATTGGTCAGACACTAATAAACATAAAATAAACTATAAATAATATAACATAAACAATAAGTCAATATTTTTAGTGAGAAGGATGAACCTGATGCTTTAATAATAAATTATCAACATTTGGCGTCAATTTTGTAAGGGTTAATCTTAAATCTCCTCGGCTAATGATGTCCCGTCTGTTTCTTTTTTTCGTTAGGAGATTGGTAACAGCGCTGAACCCCCTTTCCACTAGGTATGACGATGGAAAGGAAATTAAAAATTTCCTCGCTATATTCCATAATACAGGATAAGTAACGGGTATGTTGTTTTGCAGCCAGAATTGCTGATATCCGTTTTTAAACTGAACCTTAGGTTTTTCGTTTGTACTTAGTTCAGTCAGTTCCTCTTGTATTATGACATTCGTTTCTTCTATGTCACCATATGGATTAATTATCCACGGTGGTATTACCATAGTCAAAATATCCTGAAACCTAGATTCAAAATCTGAATAGAGGGCATTTAAATGTTGAACGTAAGTTGAAACGTCGTCTTCCTGGCAGCTTGTCTGTGGCAAATTGGGGAACTGAGAAAATTCGCCCCGTCCAATATTTTGCTTCATTAGTTTAACTCTGGCAAGAAACGCTGATAAGATGGACTTTGTTTTAATCAAATTTAAACTGTCGCCTTGTAATTGCAAATTAACCATATTAAATTTTGTACACAAATCTGTTAAATAGGCGATGTCTGTTTTCCTCTTCATTAAATTGTCTTTTAAAATTTTATCTTTAGTATCCAGAAATTCTAAAATAGTCTCAAAAAGTGCAAAAAATCTTGTCAAACATAAGCCTTTCGACAGTCTGCGTACTTCAGTGTAAAGGAGTAATTGATGAAAGTGTTCGTCATTTTCTTTCACACAACTGCGCAAATAACGGATTCGGTTTACTGCATCGATGACTAAATGAAGTGATTCATGCAATCTAACACTCAAATTTTTAGCAACTAAATGTTGTCGATGGATGTCGCAATGTATTGCTAATACCCCTGACACATTTTGTTTTAAATAGCTTATAAATCCACGATAACGTCCAACCATGGCAGGTGCTCCATCTGTAGCTACTGATATTATATTTGATAAAGGAATTGCTTTTTCAATGAAGTAATCCTTCAAAACATGAAATATTGATTCACCTTTAGTGTCGGTTATCAAAGTTCTTGCGAAGAGCAGTTCTTCGTAGATTTCTTGATTCATAATAAAACGAACATATGCCAATAATAATGCTGCATTATCAGGTAAAGTTGACTCGTCCAGTTGAATAGAGAAATGGGTCGTTTGCAAATGATTACATAAGAAGCTTTCAATATCAGAACTCATTTCATCAATACGTCTTTCAACAGTATTGTTGCTTAAGGGAGTTCTTTCAATGATATCAGATGCAGGTTTGTGTAAAACAGTTTTTAAAACCTCTTCAACGGCTGGCAAAATTAACTTCTCTCCGATAGTATGCGGTTTTCCGGATTTTGCTATAAGTAACGAGATATTGTAAGACGCCCGCAAACCATCATCATTTCTTTGTGACGTCGAAGCGAACATTCTGTCCAGTGTAGGTCTCTTCTGAAATTTATCTCTGAGTGTTTGAAAGTATTTCAAATCTTTCTCTGTTTTATGAGGGTGGCATCTTCTCAGATGATCTTGCAGTTTAGATGGTTTCATAGCGTCATTGCCCAAAACCTTGTTGCATAAAAGGCACATAGGCGATTGTTTGTCCGGCAATGATGGAATGAAGCCAAATTTCAAATAATCAACACTGTACTGTCTACATTTCTTTTTAGATTCGGACATGGCATCAGTTATCTGTGGGCAAAATTAAATTATTTAAATAAGACAGAAAATCCAGGAGCTGTATATTAAAATTTTTTTTTGATTTTTCCGAAAACATTCCATAATTCGAACATCTTCTTGCAACAATTAGCTCGAATTACGGAGATTGCACTGTAACTATTGAGGAGTACTCGTGTAATTTTGCATGATTGAACATTTAACTACTAATAACTAAAGTCATGACTGGCGTAATTTATCTATCTTTGCTAACTACGAGTACAAAACTAAAATTTAATAAAAAATAATGTACTTACTTTTCTCTAGCACTCTCAAACAAAATAACACTGACTCACTATAATTTGTGTGATATACTATCTGTTTATATTTTTTAAAATATTTTCTTAGCACTTTCCTTTTCAAGATTCTGGAAACGAATAAACGTATTTGTCCCACATTCGTATTTATAGAGTGACGAATTGAACAAGTCAGTGCAAGGTAGCGAAGCTCTGAGACTGCGACTCTCAGGTTTTTACAAGTTCAAAATGTATTGCGACCACCACAAAGCGAATACCAACATCCTACAACTTACACAATTTTATAAACATATATAATAAATTTTTTACTTCATAAATACTTTTATAAATAATGTATATGTTTTGATATTATAAGATAGTATGATGTAAGTAAATAGGTACTATCAGTGTATGTGTTGAGATCCACTATCGTGGACCCCCATATTCATTTCATGGACCCCCAATTTTTTTTTCGCTGACGTAGACCCCTTGCAGGTTGTCATAGACCCCTAGGGGTCGATATAGACCACTTTGGGAATCAATGTACTAGCTGCTTTCCTACTCATACCACTCCGTACTGCTGCAATCGAATCCTGCATATTTGTTTCATTGAATTGACGATATCGCCTACCACCCACCTTTTTAACGTAATTTCTGACCATTTTTAGATAATATTATCAACCTCTCGACAGTCGTAACCTGTTCTAATCCGTTAAATTCCTCAGCGAGTATGACGCATATATACATTCCGAGAAAACGACACCTGCACGTGGCAAGTCGAAGAAACCCGATTGGTGTCGAAGTTACCCTTACAGTTGAAGGTTTACGGTACTTGTTTTAATATCAAAAGTACTCGTCAAATAAGCATCTGCAAAAGTGTCAGGGGCGGAGCATACCATAAACGGTGATCTAGTCAAGAACATCTAACGCTGCTCTATCATGTTTTTTAATCTAATTTGTACGTCGTGAAGAGCTACGATGTGCGCGGAATAATAAGTTCTATTTACCTGGAAGTTGTATATGGAATTGAGGCTGTTGATGCTAGGCACGCCTCCGTATTTCAGCGCCAACAACACCTTCTTGTGATCCTCTCCGGCGTCTCGTAAATTCTGCCTCACCTGAAAAACCGCAAAAGTTTTCATTGCAGCAGGCTTTCGCAATTTTTATACAAAGTTTTCAAGTGCTCGGAAATAACATAAAGCGGGTTACCCAAACGACATTCGAGATATCGTTCATAAAGCACCGTTGTTCTCTGACATGAATGAAATTGATTTTTTAGGTGAAGGTTATGACCTATTTGATCGTGTGGTCGGAGATATCGGCCGTAATCAAAAGGATTATGGAGGATTTTTATGCCTATTGGAAACTTAAGTGAAATAAATTTACTCGGTGCTTCCCGCGCATTGATATAAAGCTATTTCACATTTTAGGTATACCAAGTGTTTCAATTTCGACCATTGAGATTTTAGAAACGGTAAGAGATAAGAGGTCAGTTGATAGGAAAAAAGTACTTCTGAAACAAAGAAAATGAAACTTGAAGGAGATACTCGGAAAAAGAAATTTTTCCAAAATCGTTATTATTTTTTCTTTGCCGTTATTCATGGTAGGATTTCATCGTGAATTGCACAATAACACTGCCACCGTTTATCATCTATACTAAGTGACATATAAATCCGAACACCCAGTTTAAATGGTTTTATTTTAATAAAAGTTGGTGAATGTGTTTATCTTACTGTAAATAACAAGTGAAAAAATTTTCAGCCTTATCAGTTGGACATTCTGGTTTTTATACTGCTTTTTTTTAATTCATTAGCACTCTAAAAATGAATATTTCAGCAGTAGTAAAGAATCAACGTTGGCGGATTTTGGTTCTTGACATCCTTCACGATCGGTTACGATCCCTAGCGTACGGAGACCTGTAAGATTTCGTCAACTTAGTGAGTTTGATAGGGGCCTTCGGGAAGCTGGACTTTCTTTTCGGGCAATTGCAGTTAGAGTGCAAAGAAGTGTAGACACTGTGGTTAGGTGTTGTCAGGCATGGCTTCGAGAAGGCCGTACGCAAAGAGCAAGGGGCACTGGACGCCGCCGTAGAACAACAGACCGTGTAGATCGCCGCCTAAGATTATTGGCCTTAAGGGACCATTCCTCCACTACCAGGTCCATTGCAAATGAATGGTTTGCAGAACACGGAAGATCTATTGGCATGCGAAGTGTTTACCGACGAATGAGAAGTTTTGGCTTGTTTTCATACCGGCCACACTGGGTCCTCCCTTTAACTCGAGAACACCGACGTAATCGCCTTGAGTGGTGCAGACAACGGTCACTCTGGGATCAGGAATGGAACAGTATTGTCTTTAGTGACGAGTCTCGATTTTGTTTAAGCATGCACGATGGTCGTGCCAGGGTTAGAAGGCGACGTGGTGAAAGGAGGAATGCACAGATTTTTGTTGAAAAATATGTTCATCACACTGTTGGAGTTATGGTTTGGGGTGCTATAGCTTATGGTTCCAGGTCACCTTTAATCTTCATCAGAGGTAACATGAACGCGCAGCGTTATATCCACGAAGTTCTAGAACCCCATCTTTTACCCTATCTTGACACCCTGGAAGATCCAACTTTCCAACAAGATAATGCCCGACCACATGTTGCAAGAGTCGCAATAGACTTCTTTCAACATAATGATGTCACATTGTTACCATGGCCACCAAGATCTCCCGACTTATCCCCAATTGAGCACCGTGGGATATGATGGGTAGGAGATTGCTCAATTTGCAACCTCCTCCTCAGACTCTAGAAGCACTTCGAGAGGAGTTGGTGGTTGCCTGGAATGAGATACCACAGGAGGACATTGACCACCTGATCAGAAGCATGCTTAGGCGCGTTGGAGAATGCGTAGCACATCAGGGTGCATCCACACATTATTAAAGGTCAAAGGGCTTTAAAGCAGTGCAATCATTTTGAAATTTTTATCATTTACTTATTATGCTTCATTAAGTACTTATACAAAATTTTATTGAAATAAAACCATTTAAACTGGGTGTTCGGATTTATATGTCACTTAGTATTGTTTTGGCTGGTCTGAATTCACAATTTAATTTTGATCACAGTGCGAGGCGCGGCCTGGAGTGTTTGCGAACTTGCTCGACTGTGTAGGCTACTGAATCACGCAACAGAGGGTTGCTGTGCGATTCGACTTGATTGACTAACATGATATACTATAGCGAAGTTTAGTGTAAGCGATGTAAGGTTCAAAACTGATCAACTGCCTGACAGTCGTTTACTGTGGGAGACAGTGACTTTATATTTATATACTCTCAACGGAAACGGAAAGTAGCTGAGTCAGCTAGAAAATATATCAAAAACCTTGATATGTCCATATGTTAAAATGATTTTAATATATACAGGGTGGTTCATAACTTTGTGCTATAGCAAATATGTATTTATTCAAATAGAATACATCATTTTATTGAATATTTGGATAGAGCTTATAAAACCAAAAGTTTGGTATCATATAACATGGTTTTGATTGTCAATTGTTTAGATGTGAAATGTCTGATATATGCTTGATATATTCTTTTTTCGAACAGTATTTGAGTTATTGCTGTTAATTAAAATTAAATATTAAATATATATATATATATATAGGTGAAAAATTAAAGCTTCCGCCTTTTGTTGGGTACTTCGACAAGAATTAAGCAAAGAGGACTCTTTATACTTTTTTTAATTCTCTCTAGCTTTCAATGGACTTTGCCATCATCATCAGGAGCTGCAATTACAATGATAACAGTAGCAACAAAGGTGTAAAATGAATTTGAATTGACTCAACTTACAGTAGTATGTGAGGATGTTGCTAATTGTTGTTTACGTATAGGATGAGGGAAACGTCCAGTAACATGGTGAGAGCTGAATAGGTTGCACAATAGTCAAATTTATACAAAACATGACAAAAACAAGTTAAAAACAGATTAAAAATTATTTAAAAAATTTTTAGCGCATTACATCGTGAAACCACCTGATGATTGCACAAATTAGTGGTCATGGAATGATGAATTGATGAGTGACATGAAACCCTTTGACAGAAGGCCGAAGGATGTCAATGTCAGTATTGAAGGATGGAACGAATTGTGGGCGTGTGCCAAAACGTTGCCAAATCACTTCAGATGATGAGATTTTCAGAATTTTATGTTAGAATTTGTTAAACCGACCAGAGGCAGTTGAATAAACTATATTATTATTAATGGGAATTTAAATTAACAATTATTAATAAATCGTGAGGAGAGAATTATTATATTTTGAGTGGAATGAATTTTACTGGTGGAAACGGCCAAAACACAGATTCTAATTATGGTTGTGAAGAGTTGAAATTTGGGGAGATATGTAAGTTCTCCAATTTTTCGCAGTTTAGCAAATATATAACATATCTCCCCAAATTTCAACTCTTCACAACCATAATTAGAATCTGTGTTTTGGCCGTTTCCACCAGTAAAATTCATTCCACTCAAAATATAATAATTCTCTCCTCACGATTTATTAATAATTGTTAATTTAAATTCCCATTAATAATAATATAGTTTATTCAACTGCCTCTGGTCGGTTTAACAAATTCTAACATAAAATTCTGAAAATCTCATCATCTGAAGTGATTTGGCAACGTTTTGGCACACGCCCACAATTCGTTCCATCCTTCAATACTGACATTGACATCCTTCGGCCTTCTGTCAAAGGGTTTCATGTCACTCATCAATTCATCATTCCATGACCACTAATTTATGCAATCATCAGGTGGTTTCACGATGTAATGCTCTAAAAATTTTTTAAATAATTTTTAATCTGTTTTTAACTTGTTTTTGTCATGTTTTGTATAAATTTGACTATTGTGCAACCTATTCAGCTCTCACCATGTTACTGGACGTTTCCCTCATCCTATACGTAAACAACAATTAGCAACATCCTCACATACTACTGTAAGTTGAGTCAATTCAAATTCATTTTACACCTTTGTTGCTACTGTTATCATTGTAATTGCAGCTCCTGATGATGATGGCAAAGTCCATTGAAAGCTAGAGAGAATTAAAAAAAGTAAAAAAAAAAAAAAAAAAAAAAGTATAAAGAGTCCTCTTTGCTTAATTCTTGTCGAAGTACCCAACAAAAGGCGGAAGCATTAATTTTTCACCTAACTGGTCTAGACGACAATGACCACGTCTCAAGTTATATATATATATATATATATATATAGGTGAAAAATTAAAGCTTCCGCCTTTTGTTGGGTACTTCGACAAAATTTAAGCAAAGTGGACTCTTTATACTTTTTTTAATTCTCTCTAGCTTTCAATGGACTTTGCCATTATCATCAGGAGAGTAGTATGTGAGGATGTTGCTAATTGTTGTTTACGTTTAGGATGAGGGAAACGCCCAGTAACATGGTGAAAGCTGGATAGATGGTACAATGGTCAAAATTATATAAAATATACACAATTGTGTGACAAGAACAAGTTAAAAACAGATTATTTTTTTTTTAAAAACATGAAAGCATTACATCGTGAAGCCACTTGATGCGGCTAATTAATGTACTGCCAGATACCGAAAAGCTCTTAGAAGGAATCACATACAGGGTGTCCGCAAAGTTGGGGTTTTCCTTTACACGACGTGTAGATCTTGAAAACATAATCAATTTTTCTTAGTACCATATACACCAATGTCTTAAGGGAACCGAGATAAAGGGCTTTGCAACATCAAAAATATCTGAATACCGTCCTGTAGCAGCGACATCCCCGAGTGGTACTAGGACACTAGCTCAACCCGACGACAGAACTGGGTCGGGGTCAGTGTGTCAGGTCAGTATGCAACCTTCAACCGACGGTTACGGTCACGCGTGTAGAGGTAATCGCGTAGACGAGAATCCCTCGACAAGCACTAGAGACGTGGCTAGAGAAGTGCAAGTATCAAACACTAAAGTGTGGCAAACGCTGCATGAAGAGGGGCTGTATCCGTTTCACGTCCAACGTGTACAAGCCCTTCAACCTGACGATTTTCCAGCAAGAGTGCGGTTTTGTGAGTGGTTGTTGCATCAACATGACAATAATCCGGACTTTTTGAAGTGCACATTGGTGACAGACGA